CTTTATTTAGGCAGGTTAATCCCTTTGAACCTTGAGGACTCATTTACAAGAGAGACCTGATGCTGGAAAGACCTGGTGCTGGAAAGAAAACCTGGTGATGGAAAGAAAAAGAGGACAAGATGAATATCTTTGTTCACTCAGAGATTTTGCAGAAAGGGTTTTAAGTAACAGTAGATGACTCTTTCTTACTGCTGTAATTGTAGATGATGCCAGGGAGGAGAAGGAGACGAGGTCCTGGGTTTTTCGTGGAGGAGTAGAAGATCCAGAAGAGGTGAGTAATCGTGGAGAGAAGAGCAGGTTGATTCAAACTTAGGCGTTTGTGGTTTGGTAGTTAAAGGGACAATGTTGATCCACAGGAGAGCCACAAGGAGCAAGGAGGTCTTAGGAAAGACCTGAATGAACAGGACTAGGAAGTCCCTGGAGAAGATCACAAGAACTAGTACTTAACACTTAACACATGGTACTAGCTGTTGAGAAACAGGTTAGTCGGCTATCCATAAATTACCAATGGCAGTAAATGTCCCAGCACTGGAAGAACATCTAGCAGGAGCTTATATACTGTACTTCAGCAGACAAGTCCTTCTCAGTCAGTGGCAAGTGGTGCGAGTTGGTTGATTGGTGCTGTAGAGAGAGTGAGTGTGGCAAAGAAAACTCAGGAATCCTACATGCATAGTGCAGCAACAATAAACATATGAGGTGTCACAGATGTGACTTAGTTATGTCAAGCCGGTAGACAAAGTTGTCTGGACCTATAGCACAGTCGGGGATGGACAGCTCTAGCCATGTTTCCATAAAGGCAAGGACACAACAGCTCCTAGTGTTCCACTCACAATAAATCCATGCATATAGGTCATCCAGTCTATTCCTCACAGACTGAACGCCCGAAAGCAGGATCAAGGGAAGAGAGGGGTGCTACATATGGGTTTGTTACGTCTCTGGCGGGTTCTGCACAAAACACTGGCTCGCGTTCCTCTTCGTGTCTTCCTCTTACAGTGCCCAAGTAAACAAAGAACCCAGGGGAAAATGTCTGCCACGGAGTCCCCAAAAGTCAGTCCAAAGTCCCCACTCACTGATGATCGCAATGCCAAAAGTGCTTCGCAGTCATACCCGTAGCATAGGAGTGCAGTCCATCTGCAAAATGTCAAAACGCAAACAATGAACAAAAAAATGTGAATCAAAGCAGAGTTCTCATCAGTGCTGCCATGCTGCAGTGCACGTTGATGACACATTTTTGCTAACGATAAACCTTGGCTCTACAAATCGTTTAAAATACAATCAATTTGTGCAACATTTCTTTCAAGAAGGGGGACTTGGCTCAAGACCACATACTCAAACAACAAGTGAGAAAATAAATAAATTTAACTAGATTGAATTGTAAAGAGAGTTTAGAATATGCTCAGGTCCAATAACTCCCAGCTGGTGTGGGAGGGAGTTAAGTCTATGATGGGGATGCCAACTAAGAAAACTCACATTACTCTGAACTCCATCTGCTTTAAAACTATCAATGATTTTAATTTATTTTACAGTCATTTTACCACTAATGATTTTACTGAGGAGCTTTCTGGTTTTATAAATGTGCCGCCAGGTGCCATAGTACATACTGACAATAGAAGTCTAACATTTTTGAAAAGACCAAAGAAAGAGAATCCTGGTCCTGATGGTAAATGGGGTCATATTTTTAAGAACTGTTTCCTGCAGTTAGCAGACATTTTTTGTTTTCTTTTTAACATGTCCCTCTAAACCTATAGGGTCCCACAGCTCTGGAAAGACTGTTATTGTTCCAATCTTAAAAATCAAGACTGCTCAATCACTGAAAGACTTCAGGCCTGTTGCCCTAACTTGTAGATGAAGCCATTCTCATCTGCTTTTAATTGTATTCAGCCCCACATTTTAGCAGACAAATTGCAACATTTTTATGGTCTTGATTCTGGCCTCATACAGTATGTTAGCTTGTGGATTTTTAAACTGTTCGGTATCAGTGGCGGGTGAGGGTGAACCGGGTTCTTTCTGATGTCCTTTTGTCCTCTACCTGTTCCCATCTGGGCTGCATTCTTTTGCCCCTTTTATTTATTTTATATATGAACGATTGTCGCAGCCGGTATCCACAGCGTCACATTTTAAAATTTGCTGATGACTGTCATTTTGTCCCTTCTCAGCAGTGATGACCTTGACTCTGCGTCAGTGGTCAGAGACAACTGAATGGTGTGTCTTTCTTTTTAAAGTTAAAATTTTCTAAGGCAACGGAGATGGTTATTGATTTTAGAAAGAGCTCTTCAGTTGCCACTCCTGTGTTCGTTAACAGTGAAGCCGTTGAGATAATGCATCATTGTAAATATCTGGGAACTGTTCTCAATGACAAACTGACCTGTGAGCCCCATGTGAACTCACTTTGTAAGAAGGCCAATCAGAGAAAGTATTTTTATTGAAACCTCTGTGGGTTTAATGTTGATTTGACTTTTATGAGAATGTTTTATTTATGTTTTATTGAGTTTCTTTGAACTTTTACCTTCATCTGTTGGTTTGGATTTTTAACATAAGAACTGGAATATGCTGGTGAAGATTCTCAGTCATCCAGGACATGATGAATTCAAAAAGCGATCAATACACAAACAACTGATTTTTAGGTGTGAACTGCCAATCTACATATATGTGTGTGTGTCTTATGTTTGTGTGTGTCTTATCTCACTCAGCCTTATAACCTGTATCTCTCACTCTCTGCTCTTTGAATTGAGAAAGCTCCTCGGATGAGGAGCGAAACGTCTTCTGTTACAAATAAAGTCCAGTTGTTTTTGTATTGAACACTTTTTGAATAAGAACTGGAACAAACTCTTGGGGATTGTCAGGATATGCAGCAAAATTGCTGGCATAGCCCTAAAGACCCTTACTGACCAAGGCCAGGCTGATTCTGGCAGATCCTAATCATCCTCTCTATGGTGAGTTCAGGTTGCTTCCATCGGGATGCAAGTATCTGTTGCCCAGATGTAGAATGAACAAACTGAAAAACTCACTTATCCCTGTATCAATCCGATTTCTCAATGAACAGTTGTGATTTCTGTACTGTTATTTTAGTGTCTTGATATCTTGTGTAGAATAGATGTTTAACATGCCTACTGACTGTGAAACAAATGTCCCCTTGGGGATGATTCTTGAACTTGAATCTGTTTAGGTGTCCCCGTTATGGCCTGTAGACATGTCCAGGTGTCCCTGTGATGGACTGAAGACCTGTCCAAATGTCTCTGACCTGGAAACAAGAAGTGGATAAAGAGAATAGATCTAAAAATATTTTTTGTACTTTATTCAGCTCAGTTTTGAAAATGGAAGCGTAATTCTAAACCAACAGATCTGTTTCTGAAGCTCAAATCTAACTTATTGAAAACACTGTGTTTAATTGATGTCATTGCTGCAATAATATAAACATAATAAATTTACCTACAAATACTTGATAATGATATATTACTAAGTACTTTTATGATCTTTCACTTTACAGTTCTGCATTAAACTGGTGAGTTTTATTTACGATGTTACAGAAACAATACAGCTGTACTGAATACAGCTCCTCAGACTGAGGAAGTCTCTCGGATGAGAGACGAAACGTTTCTACATTTTTTTGTTGATTTGTTTTGTTTTGTTTTTTTGAATGTCCAGAGGACCAGATTTAACTTTTTTAGATTTTTCTACCTGGATTATTGAGCATGCATCAGGAAACTCATACAGGTGAATTAATATTCAGCTAATATAGCGGAATTAATGTTCAGTGAACAATGAGCAAACGGGTGCAGAGGATACAGAGGATAGAGTGGGATGGAGGGTGATGACTCATTTTGGCAACCTCTGAAAAGAGAAAAGTCCAAAGAAAAAGAAGAAGTCGACAGGTATTTAAAAACAGATGAATTAGAATCACTAGCAACAGTCTGATCAGTTTTGCCCCTGCGGCAATTCAAAAAGTACAACCTACCACTGGAGCTGCTGGTCATTTCTGTACAGCCATTATTCAGTCTGTTTTGTGCACATTTATCACTGTGTGGTTTGGCTCATCCATAAAACAGGACAAGTCCAAAATCCAACAAACAATCAGGTCTGCAGAGAGGATAATCGGGGCTGACATTCCTTCAAACCGGGACTTGTACAGGGTCAGGAAAAGGGCTGGGAATATCCCTGCAGACCCCACACATCCTGGACACAAACTGTTTAGACTTTTACCTTGTTTGCAAAAGTCAGCCAACACAGAGAGTTTCTTCCCCCAGACTACCACCATGTGACAATGTCACATGGTGGTAGTCAGCCACTCTGGTGTGAAACAATTAATAAATATATTTGCAAAACTACAACCTGCCTTTTTTCCTTCAGTGTATTTAAATACTTTATATACTAATGCATATACATACTGTTTCTTTTATCCTCTAAATTTATAAACCTGATGTCTGTATGCTGTGAGCGCTTGAAACTGCAGTGAAATTCCTTGTCTACGCACATAAACTTGGCCAATAAAAGTGATTCTAATTCTGACATACGTGCTAACATCAGAGCCACTTATTGAACGTCGTTCATTTTAACCTTAAATGAAAGGGATTTCTAAACTGAATATCAAAATTACATTTCTCCTGATATTCTTTAAAACCAGCTTGTGTTTGGTTCAGTAATGTTTGTAACAAAACCATCTTGAGTTTGAATATGAAATGTAAAGTACAGGAGCAAAGAGTTCAAAGCTGAAGTTTATTAAAACTTTTAATCAGAAATGTGAATATTTCTACAGAAGGTTAAACTAATCCAGAGGTTTGAGTTAAACTGATCACATTTGTGTTTTAAAACTGTACACCGCCCGATAGAAACATGTTAATTATCCAATCTTAGTTTTGTAAATAAACTAATTTCAAATTAATACTGGATCATGAGCCTAATAAATCATCCTTTTGAATTTATTAACGATGATGGCTGAAATGTATTATTTTATCCTCATTTTCTGAGTTGACATGTGTTTGTGTTTGTGTGTTGATGAGTAGAGAAGCCGTGTGTGTTGTTCTGCAGCCCACCAGGCCACCATGTCCCGGTTCTGATGGCTGACAAAGTCATCGATGGGACTCCTTGTGGCCCGTTTGAGTCGGGTCTGTGTGTTAACGGGAGCTGTAAGGTACAAATCCACACACTAGGATCATCAGACAATCAAGTCCTTGGTTTCTTCCTTGTTTTCTTTAATTCTACACAGTTAACCTCCCAAGTCTCTTTTCTCGTATTAACAGAAATTTTAACAGTTTAATTTATTTAAATGTTACTTGTTATTGTTATTAAAGGTTTTTACTAGTTGTTTTGTTTGACTTGAATAGATATACTTTAGTGTACCATATTTAAGGTAGAAATTTTATGATTTATTTCATTACAATGGTAAATGTTATTGTTATTTTATTTTAAAAAAATTTTTTTACTTTGTTTTGTTGTCAGTTTTGGCCAAGGAACTCTTGTAAATGAGATGTTTAATCTCAGTGAGTTTCTCCTGATAAAGTAAAGGACAAATAAATAAATCCTATGATTTTAGGTCAAAATAAGAACTTTGATGTGGACACAGAAAGTGTGTCCATCTAAGACGTAAAATTGTAAAAAAAAAAAAAAGAAAGTCCACTTCCTTTCAATTCCAGGGGTTTATTAGTTAACCTGATCTGGAGCCTCATGTATGAATGGTGCGTATGCAAAAAGACTGTGCGTCATGTTTCCACGCACGTGATAGGATGGACAAAAACAAACTGTTTGAAAGTGTGCATAAATATCCTTACATTTCTGACCCGCACTGAAAATGTTCTGACCTTCAGTATCTAAAATCTAACTACAAAGAACAGAAAGTCACCTCAAACCCAGGAGTTTTTTAAAACAATGGTTTTTCATGAGTTTGAACATGTATGGTTTAAATCAGAAGGAAGAAACTGGACAAAAACTGAACTACAAACAGTAGAAGATCTAACAGGGCAACAGAACATCTAAGGGAACAACGCTGTCCTTCAGTCCAGCCCTCTCTAGTAACTGGTAGAATTGGTTGACACCAGCCACTTCCACATTGCGTTTCTGCTGCTGCCTGAGACATTCACTCATCAGTTCATCATCGGGGGCGTTCTTGACTGTCTTGTGACTTCATCATGATTGGCATTTGTCTCTGACATTCCAAGGACATTCCAAGCTGTCCTGGACATCTGAAATGTTGCCTTCTGGCACTTTGGTGTCGATTTTGTTGGATTTTTCTACCTGGATTATTGAACATGAACCTTGATCTTTAGAGATGGCTTTGTAACGTTTTCCAGCCTGATGAGCATCAACAACACTTTTTCTGAGGTTCTCGGAAATTTCCTTTGTTCGTGCCATGATACAAACATGTTGTGAAGAGCAGACTTTGATAGATCCCTGTTCTTTAAATCAAACAGGGTGCCCACTCACACCTGATCATCATCCCATTGATTGAAGCACCTCAGGGTAGTCACCTTCAAATTAACTACTAATCCTAGAGGTTCACATACTTTTGTCACTCACAAATATGTAATATTGTATCATGTTCCTCAATAAATAAATTACCAAGTAAAATATTTTTGTCGTATTTGTTTAACTGGATTCTCTTTATCTAATTTTAGGAACTGTATGAAAATCTGATGATGTTTTAGGTCATATTTATGCAGAAATGTAGAAAATTATAAAGGCTTCACAAACTTTCAAGCACCACTGTATGTATGTTTGTTTCTACTTCCTGTCCTCTCAAACCCCAGCTGGTCAAAGCAGATGGCTGCTCATCCTGAGCCTGGTTCTGCTGGAGGTTTCTTCCTGTTAAAAAGGAGTTTTTCTTTTCCACTGTTGCCTTTGTGCTTGCTCAAGGTGGGAGACTGTGACAAAGTAAAGATTCAATCTGTCCAAATCTGTTGGCTTCCTTAGATAGATAACTTTTACTAATCGGCTCTTATAATGTGTGTGAATGTTTTGTACATTGCCTTGAGCATGGACTTTGTTGGCTTGAGATAATTTCTGTTTTAACTCAGATCTATAGAAATAAACTGAATTGAATTGAAACTGAATCAAATATTTACTTCTTCTCGATTCGTGAACATATTCCCCCTCTCATCTTAGATGCTTCTCCTTTTTGATCATGTGTTGGGACTTCCAGCTTTACTATTTGTTGTTAGAACAAACACACTAGTGTTGTGTGACGCAAACCTTACAAACATAAATGTATAGACTTAAGGTAAAAAAATTTATTCAGATCTCTTATGATCTGAAGTTAAACCATAAATTTGCTCAACTATGGTAATTCTTACCTACCTGACCTCAGGCTTAAACTTCTCCTTACTTTAAAAAAGATGTTGGTGTGATTCATTGAGGCAGTTGCTCTGATTCAGTTTTATCTTTTTTATTGTCCTTTTTTTGTGGGCAGAACATTGGGTGTGATGGCATTGTCGGCTCGTCAGCAGAGGAAGATATTTGTGGTGTTTGTAATGGACATGGACTCTCGTGTAAAAGAGTGAAAGGAGAGTTTAACTACACCAAGGGAATTGGTGAGTGAGTTTGTTGTTAATTTATAAAGGATCAACTCTCTTTGAGACATCTATTCAACTAGTAAAGCACTGACTATGACAATGATTAAGTGTTCTGTGCCACAGATTATAATTGATTAAATCATCCATATTTTATATTTATGATCTTTTGTAAAAACTATCAAATAGAAACTAAACTTTATCAGTTTGTAACAATCCTAAAAACAAAAGGCACATCATTTGTCATAAGAATTTTTGTCTGACTTAATATTGAATACTGATAAAGTTGTAATAATCGGGGATTTCAATATTCACGTAGATGTTGAAAGTGATAGCTTAAGCATAGCCTTTAATAATTTAATAGAGTCTTGGTTTTACCCAAAATGTCCACTCATCTATTCATTCTCATCAACACATTCTTGATCTGGTTCTGACATTTGACAGAGATTAAGTACTAAATAATACATCCTCAAAGTCCTGTTTTTCTGACCATTTTTAATAACCTTTGAGTTTACATTAATTGGCTACACAGCCACCGAGAGTAAATTTCATTATAGTAGGTGTAGTCATTTTTGACCAGGATATGTCTTTAAACCCCTACATTGAAAACGTTACTAGAACTACTTTCCTCCATCTGCATAATATCACTAAAATTAGAAACATCTTGTCCAAAAATTTTGCAGAAAAACAGTTTCATACATTTATCACATACAGGCTGGACTATTGCAGTTGTTTATCTGGTCCAAATGTCTGTGGTAAAACTCACCTAAGTGCTATCGGCTATTAGCTTCTCAATGACGTCGGTAGTAACGGCTTGTAACTCTGGTAAGGCTACGTTGTAAAAATATCTCTGACTGGGGACGATGTAGCGAGGCTCAACATAGTCCAAAAATCTTCTGAGTCCAGTATTCTCAACGAAAATAAAACTTCCACACCGCTGACATTTTGACTACTTCCTCTCGGTCAATATCAGATCAGGTAGGTACGCGTGACGTCATCACGTTGTGCTGGCACTGCAGGCATCCTGTCACTGGGTTGTTATACAAAAACAGCGTCTTTTATATCGGTGAGTTATTTTGATGGAATGACCGATGTCCTATATTTAATTTTAACGCTATTATCGACCGATACCGTTCCCATGCTGATAATATCCTGCATCCCTAACTGAGGATCTCTTAGTATGTCTTATCTCCTTCTGGAGGCCAACTCGCCGACAGCCATGAATCATTTCTGTGCATCTGACTGTGGCTGGCAATAAGGGAACATCTGCTGGACTCTGCTGCTGTATAAGTCTGCAGATGACTATTCGAGGCTCATTTCTGTGACATGTTCCATGCATATGCATTTATGTATCTGTGTATGTAATTTGTCTTGAATGTGTTATTGCAAGTTAAAAAGCTAGTTAAAAATCTTCTCCAGCCATTGAGTGTGGTTCTTTTGGGTTAACAACGTTAGTGAGAGAGACTTTCTCTAACAGGTTCCTAATGGGACAGAGCAGGTGCAGAACATAGGTCTGTGCAGGAGCTCACTTGTCCATCACTGACCTGTTTCTCATGTTCTCTGTGATGTTTTCAGGTTACGTTGAAGCTGTGGTTTTTCCAGCAGGAGCACAGAGGATCAAAGTGGTGGAGGACAAACCTTCACAGAGTTTTCTGGGTAAAGATACACATCTTTAACAATAGATCACAGGTAACGTTCCGACATCTTCACCATGTTTCTCTGAATGGACATTTATGTCATTTACTTTCTCTTTGCTTCTGTGAATGCTTTCTTCATTTCTGGGTGAAATCTGCACCTTTTTGTTGTTACATTTCATTCAAATATTTTAGATTGTATCCAGCAGTGACAAAGTACCGATATAAATACAAAACTGAAGAGGAGGTGAAGGCATACCTTAACCCAACTGACTAGGGTTCAAGTCAAAACATGGCTTTTGTTCTTGTTTATTATTTATTTTTATTATTTTGTTTTGTTCAGATTTAGGACATGTTAATGGTTTGGTCTAAGTAGACCCTTTCTGCATTTTTCCACGTGTTAGAAGATATATTTAATCTGAAACCATCTTTGTCAACAATGCAGATCGTGAATAGTGAATAACTACATTTTAACAGTTATATAAAAGGCTGGTTAGGCAGCATACAAACAAAGAATCTGGAAAGGAGGACAGGTAGCAGTTGGATCTAAAGGTGAGCTGGGAGTGGTGAAGCTGGGCTGATGAGCAGATGCAAGGCAGGTGCGCAGAGATGAGAGAACCAATGACTGAGAACTGGGAAACCTAAAACAATCAGTAATTTAATATTAATCTTTGTTTAACCAGGCAAATCCCACTGAGATCACAGACCTCTGTTTGAAGACTTCCTGGGTCTGAAGGCAGACAAACATGCAGGTTTTTGAATAGTGAGAGGACATGGGAGTGATAAAAAAAAAGCATGAGGAGAACATGTGAACTTCACACCGAAAGACCCCAGATCCAAACCGAGCATTGAACCCAGGACCTTCTTGCTTTGAGACAACAGTACTAACTGTCAATTGACTGTGCTGCCTGATGATGAGCATGTGACAAAATAAACTAAACTCAAACTCTTTGAATGTGAAAAATCTGGAAAACTAAATTCTCAAAACTGGATTAAAAAATCCAGGATGATCTTCTCTCTCACTGTTTCTTTGGTTCTGCAGATTTTACAACTTTCAAATATAACAAAAACCTTAAATAGACCAAGACAGTGTTTTTTCTATTTAAAATTAACAAACCTTTGGAGAGAGCTCTCGTTAGCTGTGATAAACTCCACAATCAACATATGCAAAATGGTAAATCCCCTGGACCAGATGGCTTCCCATCTGAGTTTTTAAAGAAATTTTCAGGTCTACTCTCACCCTTATTAAGGTCTGTGTTGAAGGAGTCACTTGCTGCACAGACATTGCCACTGTCCATGTGTCGAGCTGTAATCTCACTGATACCTAAGAAAGACAAAAACCCTCTTAACTGTGGCTCATACCTACCTATATCGCTTTTAAATACGATGTAAAAATCCTTGCAAAGGTCCTGGCAAAACAACTAGAACAGGTGGTCCCCACAATCATCTCGCCTGACCAGACGTGGTTTGTTAAAAACTCAGGCTTTCTTCAATGTTAGGCAGCTGCTTGGTATGCTATATACTCCTAGTCCACCGGAACAAACCTGCGACAAAGTCATTCTTTCATTAGATGCAGAGAAATCATTTGATCGGGTGGAGTGGAGCTATCTCTTTGAGACTTTAAAGTTATTTAAATTTGATCCCAAATTCATGTCATGGGTGAGGCTGATATATACCTCCCCAATGGCAGTAGTCTGCACTAACTGTAGCATATCTTCCTATTTCAAACTGTAACAAGGTAAGAGACGAGGGGTACCCACTTTCACCACTTCCATTTGTGTTAGCGATAGAACCACTAACTGTAGCTTTACAGCAGAACTCCATCATTAAGGGGATAAATCCACTAAGTACAGAGCACAAAAGTTTCTTTATATGCGGACGACATGCTTTTGTATATATCAGACCTGCTTACCAGCATTCCTGAATGACTTACTTTGCTTCAAAAATTTGGGAAAATATCTGGCTATAAGAAAAAGGTTTGTAGGCACAATCCTCCAGGTAGATAACACAAAAAAGGGTAAATCATTTCATCTGGACCAGTTTCTTTAAGGGAGAAACATTTCACCTTTTTTGTATCTGGCTATAAGGTTAACCTTCAAAAGAGTGAGCTGATGCCTGTGACCTCTATAGAAAAGAAAATCTTGGACACCGTACCTTTTAAAATTTGTTTTAAAAAGAATTAAATACCTTGGGATTTGGGTAACTTGAAATCATAAGAACCTCTGTAAAACTAATTATCTACCTCTCATGGCAAACCTTAAGTAGGACATTGCTAGATGGCAATCCCTGCCTCACACTCTAGGGAACAGAATAAACTCTGTAAAAATTAATATCCTACCTAAATTTCTATACCTGTTTCAAAATCTGCAAATCTTCCTTACTAAATCATTCTTTACCAAGCTGAACAACCATATATCAGCATTTATTTGTAATAAAAAGCATCCACGGATTGCCAAAAAGGTCTTACATCTGCCCCACAGACTTGGGGGCATGTCGCTTCCTAACTTCATGCACTATTATTGAGCAGCTAATGTCAGAGCTCTTCTATTCTGGTTGGGTAAGGATGCCTCTTCTCCCAGTTGGGTGGCCCTGGAAAGGACCTCAGTTAGATCCAGCTACCCTTCTGCATTACTCTGCTGTCAACTGCCTTTTATACAATCAGTATCAACCCAATCTTCTAACCAAATTGTGATTTAGCTGGTTAAGATTTGGAACCCGTTCAGGAAGGCATTTAACTCTACGGAGTGTTTAGTGTGTTTTGTAGATCTCCTTGCTGACTTGACAAAAGGAGATCTACAAAACACACTAATGAACAGAAAAAGGAGAACAACGGACAAAAAAAACATTGTCATCCCTTATGGTGCTGGAGTATCAGAGCAATTCAGAAGGATTTTCAACAAACACAACATCCCAGTACATTTCAAACCCAGCAGGACTTTCAGACAGAGGCTGGTCCACTCTAAGGACCAAACACCCATACACAAACTGAGTTGTGTGGTTTATGCAGTTCAATGCAACGAGGACTGTCCAGACCTCTACATTGGAGAAACTAAACAGCCTCTTCACAGATGCATGGCTCAACACAGGAGAGCCACCTCCTCAGGACAAGACTCAGCTGTTCACCGCCACCTCACAAATTAGGGACCCTCTTTTGAGGACCAAAATGTTCACATTTTGGACCGAGAACACAGATGGTTTGAGATGGGAGTGAAGGAAACAATTTATGTAAAAATAGAGAAACCATCTCTTAACAGGGGAGGAGGCCTCAGAGTTCAACTTTCAAAAACTTATAATGCAACTTTAGGACGAATACCCAGCCAGTTTCATGCCTATCAGATGGGAATAGAGGGGGCTCATCTGTGAATTAGATTAACAGACCTTAAGAAACCCCTATTGTTAAGGTGTGAGGTGTGATTTGTCAATCTACATATGTATGTGTATCATCTCAGCCTTATAACCTGAATCCCACATGCTCAGCTCTTTGAATTGAGAAAGCTCCTCGGATGAGGAGCGAAACATCTTCTGTTACAAATAAAGTCCAGTTGTTTTTGCCTTGAACGTTTTTAGATTTACCATGTCCTGGATGACTGAAAATCTTCACCAGCAAGATTTTGGAATGTGGGTCGGATATCAAGGGGCCCCTTAGCAAGATTTATACAATGCTCAGTTCATACCATGAGTCCAGTTTGGACTTCCTTAAACTGAAATGGGAAACAGACTTGGAGGAATCCATATTAATTATTACATTATTATTATTACATATAATTCAGAACTAGTCTGAAGGGAAGGTCTACCTCAATCCAAGGAATTGGATTGTGGAATGGTCTAGAGAGTGATGTTAAAAATGCCTAGTCAATGTGTACATTTAAGAAAAAGATCAAAGCTGAATTGTTAAAAAATATATATGAAGTAGCTTAGTGTGTTTTTTGTATTAGAATTAGAAAAATTAGAAAGAGTTATTCATTTTGTTTTTTTCTTCTTCTGCCTTTCATTTTAAATCTCTTGTATCTTTTTATATTGTTATGGAATTGTTTTGTACTTTTTTTAAATGAATAAACTTTATACCATACCATACCATATCAGACACAACCTGGAGAAAGACCTTTAAGAACATTTCTCATCTTCAGTCTGTCAGAGACATGCTGTAATTCAATTCAAGCTAGTGCACCGGCTGCATTAGTCCAAAGACAAGCTGTCCAAGATCAAAGCTGACCTGGATCCTGCATGTAATTGTTGTAAACAAACTCCAGCTACACTCTTGCATACACTGTGGACATTTTCCAAACTGCAGACCTTTTGGCTATCTATTTTTGACACCTTCTCTTGGATATGTGGAAAAAATGTGCATCCATCACCATTCATCTCAGTGTTTGGGGTGGTCCCTGTGGATGTGTCCTTCAGCAAGTCCAAGAAGGATGTGATTGCTTTTGGTTCTTTTGGCCAAAAGATTGGTTTTGTGCAAATGGAAGGACCCCCCCCCCCCCCCCCCCCCAACATACTGTATGTTCATTGGATAAGAGAAGTGATGCATCATATTCACTTGGAAAGAATTCGATATACCCTGAAGGGTTCTGTAAAAAGATTTTGGTACACTTGGCAGCCTTTTGTATTGTATGTGGAAAGCATGTCAATGCCTGTTTAATTTGTTTGTGTATGTTTGATTGTTCTGGTGTGGGAAGGGGGTGGGGGGTGGGAGTGGGGTTTGTTCTTTGTGTATTTTTGTCTGTATGTTAAAAAGTTCAAATCAAAAAGCAATTAAAAAAAACTTTGATTAAAAAAATGAACAAACCTAGTTTTAGAAAATGCAAATTGCATTCTCAGGAAAAATATATATTTTTTATTTTTTTTAACCTAAATTATTTTTGATAATTAGTATTGGTAACTTAATAGACTGATGTTTGTGCCAAATGTCTGGAAGAGATGAGGGTTTGAATTCTGGTGATCAATTAATTTGTAGTCTCAGAAAATTATTCATAAAATTATTATAAAAATTCTGAGCTATGTCTTTACTCAGGAGTCCCTCTGCTCATTCAGTGTTCAGTTTGTCAGCATGCTTCATATTTTTTAGATCATAAAGAAACATATTTGGTTTTCCTTTACAATGACACCTTTAATGACTCAGTTCCTCTGGGTTCAGAAGAAAATGCGACTGCTGAATAAAAGAAATAAACCATATGAGACAAAATGTACTAAAATAATCAGATTTTCTGACTTACTTTTGTTTCCTTCTAGCACTAAAGGACTCCAGCAGGTCGATCAACGGGAACTGGAAAATCGAACTTCCAGGAGACTTCCAATTGGCCGGGACCACAGTCCGCTATGTCAGACAGGGTCTGTGGGAGAAGATTTCTGCTAAAGGACCTACTAAGACCCCCTTACACCTGATGGTAAATACATCAGTCAGGTCAGAGGTCAGATCATCTGTGTTTAGGGAAATTAGCTCAACTGAGCACTAAACAGCATTTCAACATTGGGTCTAACCGTATGTTTATTTGAGTTTTGATCATTACAACTTATTTTTACATATCATGCTGACTTTTAGTTAGAAATTAATGAATATTTGGTGAATTTCTATTTAATTTTAAAGTGATGTAATATTTACAGTGATTGCAAGTAGATCAGTACTGGCAAAAAAATCCAAATCAAAAAGATCCAGTAGTGGCAAAAAGACAGGAACAAGTGAGTGAAAAGTCTGCAGACTATTCAGAGTTTAAATACAGATGATTTAGTATTTAGTTCATCTGTTCAGAAAAGTGATGGCAAGTGGGGGGAAAAAAACTTCTCTGTAGCCTGATTGTCCTGATCCTCAATTGGTTAAAGCACAGATCTGAGGGAAGGCACTAGAACAGATGGCATCCAGGATGTGAGGGATCGGAGATGATTTTCTCTGCATGTCTCCTGGTTCTGGAGCTGTGCAGATCCGACAGTATGAGCAGCTCAACACCAATAGTCTTCTCTGTAGACCTGATGATATGCTGTAATCTGTAAATATCCTGTTTGGTGACTGAACTGCCCCACACTATGATAGACATAGTGATGACGGACTCAATAATAGCTGTGTAAAACTGCATTGTCAGCTCCTTGGGCTGGTTGAACTTCCTTAGCTGATGCAGGAAGTGCATCCTCTGCTGTGCTCGTATGACTTTGGAGCTGATATTGTGGTCACACTTCAGGTCCTGATGATTGTTGTGCCCAGAAACCTACAAGACCTCAGTCATCACTGTTCTTTCAAAAATAGTGAGTCTGGAAGTTCTGGGAGTCTTCTCCTAAACTATCATCTCTACTGTTTTAGCTGTGTTCAGCTCAAGTTTGTTGTGGCTGCTCCAAAGAACAACCTGATCGACCATCCATCTGTAAGCAGACTCATCTCCATCACGGATGAGGCCAGTGATGGTAGTGTCATCTTTAAACTTGATGATTTTGACAGAGAGGTCTGTGGAAGTGTAGTCATTAGTATACAAGGAGAAAAGCAGTGTAAAGAGTACACAACCATGTGGAGCACCTAATGGTAGTCTGGATTTCTGAAATGAACTTCCCCAACCTCACCTGCTGTTCTCTAACTGGGATGAAGTTGGTGATCCACTGGCAGGTGGGGGTGGCACACTAAGCTGAGTTAGTTTGCTATGTAGTGATCCTGGGATGATGGTATTAAAGGCAGAACTGAAGTCCAAGAACAGGATCCTTGCATATGTTCTTCAACATTCAAGGTGTTAGAGGGTAACATGGAGTCCCATGTTCACTGCGTCATCTGCCATTCTGTTGGCGTGGTATGTGAACTGTAGTGGGTCTAGGGGATGTGTAATGTCCATCAAGTGAATGAGGACCAGTCTGTCAAAGCATTTCATGACTACAGAGGTTAAAAGCAACGGGTCTTTAGTTATTCAGTCCTGTGATGGCTGACTTCTTGGAGATGGGTCTGATAGTTGAGTATTTGAAGCAGGAAGGTACAACACACAGCTTCAGTGAAGTGTTGAAGATCAAAGTGAAGACTGGTGCATGCTGCTCCGTGCAGGTCCTCAAGCATGAGGATGAGACTCCATCTGGGCCAGATTCCTTCCTTGCTCTTTGGCTCTTGAACAGTCTTTGCACATCTGCCACACATATCTTGAAGGCAGGTTGGATGGATGCCTGGCTGGGTGGATGAGTGTCAGGGGGGTGAACTGCAGCTGAATTGTTGAGTAGGGCTGGGCTTTTCGAACCTGCAATAGAATGTGTTATGTTCATTGACCAACTGACAGTCACCCATTGTACGTAAAGGTGATATTTTTTAGCTAGTGATGTTCTGCAAGCACTTCCAGACAGTTAATGGATCACACTAGTTGACATCAGACTGCTCAACATGCTTGAGTAGTTCTTCTTAGCAGTTCTAATTTCTCTGTTCAGTGTGTTCCTTGCTTTATTATACAGCACCCAAGCTCCACTCCTGTATGCCACCTCCTTGAACTGGCACAACTGATTCAGTTTGGCAGTAAACTAGGGCTTGTCGTTGTACTTAATGTGAGGCTAGGTGGGAGCACACATGTCCTCAAAGAAGCCGATATAAGATGTCACAGTGTCCGTATATTCGTCCAAGTCTCTTGTAGCTTCATCAAACAAACGTTTAGCAGTTTCATACAGTCCCGGAGCCTCTCTTTGGCTTTGTTAGTCCATCTCCTCACAGTACTGGCCACAGGCTTGAAGATGTACTAGACTGTGGTCAGAGAGGCTCAGGGCAGCACAGGGGACAAAACGGTACGTGCCCTTTAACCTAGTGAAGAAGTGATCTAATATATTACTTTCCCTGGTTGAGCAGATAACGTCCTGTCTGTATTTGGGCAGTTTGTTAGAGTTTAGCTCTGTTGAAGTCTCCCAGAATTATGAAAACTGAGTCTGTGTTTGTGATCCACTGATGTGATCTGCTCTGTGAGAATGTGCAGTGCCTCACGTGCACAGGTGTGTGTGTGTGTGTGTGTGTGTGTGTGCGTGCGCGTGCGCGTGCGTGCGCGCGCGCGTGCGTGCGTGTGTGTGGTGGGGGTAGACTCTCACAAGCACAACAGATGAGAATTTCCTTGGACAATAAAATAATTTGCAGTTAATAAAAAATACTCCAGACTGGGACTACAGGTTTTTGTTAACACTGTGAATTATATAAAAACAGATACCTCCTCCTCTTTTCTTTGATGGAAGCCAGGGATCTTGAGCATGCTGTCCAAGTCAGACTCAGTGAGCCAGGGCTCAGTGAAGCACAGAACAGTAGAGTGAGAGAAAAGTATTTCAAACTGCTGGTTAGCAATGAAAGTTTGTCCATTTTGTTACTTGTTGACTTTTATGTATGTGAATGTTCCTGTAAAGTGCCCTGAGACAACTTTGTTGTGATTTGGCGCTATATAAATAAACTGAATTGAATTGAATTGAACTTATGGAGTGAACCTTTGCCAAAAAGATGCTCGTATCGGTATGCGTAGTCCACGCTGCCATAGTTTAACATGCACTCTTTTATGCTTCCCGTGTCTGCCAGCATCTGCATCTGCTGAGGACAGCAGCTGCTCTGCTCACTATGATGCCCAAAAACCTGTTGGAGAACAAAGAATCAGGAGTAATGCTTGATGGCATAAGCTGTCCAATATTCAGCAGATCTTCTGTGCTGTACGTGAAAGTATATGGTTCAAATGTAGCAAAGCAAACATAGAAAAACAAAACTAACACTACAGATCTCCTAACCAGTGTCACCGTCTGTGACACCATCTTGGATCACATCTCATGGGAGCTCGTGTCTGGATACCATTGGGGCTAGTAGCTGGAAGACCTCTGGAAGACAGTTGGAGGACATGGGTGGATGAAGACTGGAGAACCTTGCCAGCTACAATGTTGGACCTTTTATTGTAGTGCCCTCTGCAAAGCTTGGAGAGCTCAATCTCTGATGGCTGGCTTGGATGGCACTTGAGGTTGACTTGGTAGTTTGGCGGCTCAGCTCTTGAGGGGTAACTGGACTCATAAAGTCTGCTGAGTGCTGGAGACGATGACGGGCCTGACCAGACAAAGTCAACCTTTCTGAAAGATGGGAATTTCACAATACAGGAGTATTATGGCTAGATGAGTTCCTCTGGAAGACGTATTCATATTCTCCTTGTCCACCATAAAAGGAGATGGGTAAGATCTCAGGTTCAGGGCTATAATGTCTCTGCTGATGGCCATGTTTGGATGTTCCCACTGAAACTTGCCCTACCAGATGATGGGCAGCTTATTTTTCTCCTCCTGTCTCTTCCACTGAGCAGTTTTGTCTTCTTCTCTGGCTAAGTATGCAAATATATTGAAACCCTACAAAATTTAGGTCAGAACCCAGAATGCAGACTCTCATGAGGAAACTAAAATCTAAACTTAGTTTATTATAACAACAAACAGACTGATGTGGCAGCACAACTTATATCAACTCGAGGGACACAAGGAGAATAAACAAAAAGAGCACGTAGCAGACCACTTGTGACATGAAAACTAAGAATGCACTGCTGGTGAATAGTGACACAAAGCTGAATAAATAGGACAGAGGTAAAGTGGGAGGCACCTGGGGACAGGTGAGAGTGGCGAATTGACTGAGATGGCTGAGGGTGAATGAGAAAGGACAATGGGAAGCTAAACAGGCAATATCACAAGTAAGAAAATACTGTACACATAAGAATACCAAAACAAACAACAAAGTGCAATGACACAGACTGGTCAGGATCTAAAATAAGGGAGAAACTGAACTGAAGTGAACACAAGATAAAAAAGTAGTCCAAGATACAGAGAAACAAAACTAGCAAATATTACCAAAAAGGGAACTAAACCTGATCTGAAACACAAAGAATTGTCAAAAGTACAGATCATGATACTAATGAAGCTGTTAAATTGGGCGTTGGTTGATCAGCCTTCAGGCAAAGATTTAACACATTCATTAAACCATCAGTACCTCACATGCAGCATCTCTACATCTCACTAATCCCAGGTGCTGATGACAATAGAAACTGACTGAAACTGAGGAGTTACCAGTTATTCAGCAGAACAAAAGCTCCACTCCTGGTCAACATTCACCCCAAGACAGGAAGCAACCATCCACTGTTTCTAGCCAACAACTCCTGAAAGGTGCACTCAAGACCTTTTTTATACTACTTCCTGGTTTGATTGTGGCATGTTGTGATTGGCTGAGGTTGTTGAATGAAACTAAACGGTGGTGGCATTCCTACAATAGATTTTAGCCTTACTGACTGATTGTAAAAATTGCAGTTTTCTTCTGGACAAAAAATAAATCCATAACTGTGATTGGTCCACTTCTCCTTTCTTATTTATTCAGAAGTTAGCTGTTAACTGGAGAGTAGTAGCACAGAGGTTAGAGACAGTGGGCCTGTGATCGGAAGATCGCCGGCTCAACTCCCGGTACCGACGACATCAAAATGTGGGTGGGAAAGGTGAAACATCCACACCTGCCTCCACCCTCATTTGCCCCACTCTAGGCCCTTGAGCAAGGCCCTTAACTCCCACCATCTGCTCCTCTGGGTGCCCTAGGTAGCAGCTCTCTGCTCCACACAGAGGGCTGTGGTAGCTCTGTGATCTGTGGTTGTGTCAGGAAGGACATCCAGCGTAAAAATAATTGTCAAGTCTTCGTGCGACTTAGCTGTGGTGACCCCTGACGAAGGGAGCAGACAAAAATAAAATAAATTCAGAAGTTAGCTGTTAGACTTTAGCTCCTCTAAGTCACAAGGTGTCAGAAACTGTTAACATGCTGAGAGACGAAGAGTGTAGCTTCTGTACATGTTGAAATCCAAATGTCTGACAAATGTAGTTTATTTTTTCTAACGTGGATGCAGATTCTCAGTCATTCAGGACACCGCTAATCTAAAACATTTAAAAGAACAAACTGAACTTCTGTTCTGTAGATGGAGATGTTTTGATCCAAATCAAGGAGCGAGCTTTAACAACCAACAACTAATTAATAATAAACTGATGACCAATTGATAAAGCTCTCTTGATGGGAATAAAAATTTAGAAGAAAAAAAAAACTCTACTTTGTTTGTTAAACTTTTGGATTTGTTTTAAATGTTTCATCAAAAATTCCAGTATTTTTGAAGCTTTGAAAATAGTTAAAGTATTTTTAAGGATTTGAGGTAGTTGTACAGACTCTGTGTTTACTGTCTTGTCAGCACTGTTGTGTTGTCCTCCCAGGTCCTGCTCTTCTATGACCAGAGCTATAGAATCCATTATGAATACACCATGTCGCTGAACACGACTCAGCTCAGCAGCAGTCAAACACCCAGCAAACCAGAATTTCTTTATATCTGGGCACACAGCAACTGGCAGGACTGTTCTGCACCATGTGGACGAGGTAAGAAACTCTTAAACTGTGAGGGGCTCAGTCTTGTGAGTCTTGAATTTTGAGAGATTCATTTTATTTTTATAGTGTCAGTTCACAACAAATGTCTCAGGGCACTGAGGTTGGTTCCACCATGGTTCCACTATGTTGGCCATGATGGAAACAAAGGAAGAACATTGCAAAAAAAACAGAGGAATTTTCAAAAGAAGCCAGTTCAGCTGCTACCACCTGAGAATCCAACATGATCTGTAACAAACATAGTGTCTGTGTAAGAATATAATAAAGGTGGTGCGTGCAGCTTATGTTCTGTCGTATATTCTGAATGTTTGACATGTCTCTTCAGAAACAGTTCATCAAGGTGTGTATCATGTATGTGCAGGAGAGAGGAGAACAGTGGTTTCCTGTGTGAGGATCATCAACAAAACCATGGAGGTTGTTAATGACAGCAACTGTCAATCTGAGACCCGTCCTCAGTCCAAAGTACAACTCTGTCACACTCAGCCCTGTCAGTACAGGTGAGACATACACACTCTGCTCTGGTCTCTGGCCCCAGCCAGTTTGAAAACAGCTCCTCGATTAATAAACAGAAGTATTTTGTTAATATGTTAATGATTCATGTTAAATGATTTAATCTGACCAAAGTTAAAATTATTATTTACAACACATTTAGTGTGTAATTCAATTGTTTCCATTTTCTAACTGAGGCGTTGTGGGTCAATATGACCCAAGGGCAGCAGGAGGACTAAGCATGTAGAGCATATGACATTAATTGATAACTAGTACTGCTTGAGTCATATTTATGAAGATTTGTCTGACTGAACATCAAATTGATAAAATAGATCAAAGTCACTGAGTTGACCCCAGTTTCAACACCCTTTAGCTTCTATCAGATGAATGTTGTTTCTCACCATCATGAAGATTTATTCTGCTGATGGGTTCAGCTTTAATGACTTTTGGCTTTTTGTAACATTTGTAAGAATTTTTTTTTTAAATAAAAATAATTGAAGACATAGACCACATAAAGTCCTGACGTTAGGAATGTTAAAAGATCTTCTACGAACACAGAAAGATTCAAACCATAAAACATTTAGACGGGATGTTGGAGATATATTTTGGCTTCAGGAGTTGTCGTCTTTATCCAAAGTTGTGTTTAATCAATTTTATTTTTAATCTCCATTTTTATACCGAACAGCAATAAAAGCTTTTGTTTTTCCACAGGTGGGTGACAGGGGAGTTAGGACCTTGTTCCGTGTCCTGTGGAAAAGGTTTTCAGCAGAGGGAGGTGTCGTGTGTTTACTCCCTCCAGAATGGCTCCATCATGAACACCAAAGACCAGTTCTGTGGAGCAGGAAAACCTCCTGTACTCCAGGACTGTGAGAGGACCCCCTGCCAAAGCCTGTGGGAGACTTCAGAGTGGTCAAAGGTAAGTTTAGAAACTCTCCATGGAGCATGGTGGGTTTTGGTTCTGTAGCCTCACAATAGTTTAGCAAAGGAGATGAATATTTTTCCTGTGCCTAAGGGTTTTTCCAGCTTCTTCCAATGGTTCAGGGACACATTTGGTTTTGCTCATTCTTAATAAATTTGAGGAATGAGTTGTCTCTTTGATGGAGGAAACATCAGATTATTAATAAAGAACATTACTGTCATCATTCTTTTGGTGCTGATCAAATGCTTTGGATCAATAAATGTTGTCTAAGTTACACGTTAAGGCTCTTCGGGATGAATACAGAACAGAAAGGATCCTGTCTAGAGTGGATCTAGTCCTTGGTGGATCCAGTATTAGGGATGTAATATAGTGGATTCATACCTGAGTTCATCCAGTCCGTGGATGATCCAGTTCAGGGTGAATCTAGTCCAAGGTGGATCCAGTCCAGGATGATCAAGTCCAGAATGGAATCAGTCCATGTTGGATCCAGTCCAGGGTATATCCATTTGGTCTTTGTTTGGAGTCAGACTGGCTTTAGTTTATTTATTGGTGAAGTAAAATCCTTGAACATTTCCTGTATTTTTTTTTTCCATTTACATGTATGTGTAGACGGTCTCCTGTATTTCTTTAGGGTGGGCAGTAGAAATCAGAAAAAGGTTTATTTATTTCAGCGTCTTCAAGTTCAAGTATCTTTGTCATTCGCATCACATGTGGTACATGAGGTGGAGCGAAACTGTGTGCTCAAGGTCCCAGTTACACACAAATATAGCAAAAATATAAAGTATAAAAAGAAACGGTATATACGGATCCAAGACAGGGCTATTCAACTGGCGGCCCCGGGGCCAAATCAAGCCCTCGGATGAACTCAGTTCAGCCCACCAATAGGTTCATTTTTAAATAAAACTAGATTTTAATCCATAAAATAAACTTACTTAATGACAATAACTGCTGGATATCCACCCCCTGAGCTACTGGCTTTCAGTAACTGTGGCCCCCTGAGCAATTTAGTTGAATAGCCCTGATCTAAGATATACACTAAACGAATGCTAAACAATATGCTAAAAGGTCTAAAATATATGCTAAACACTAATATTGTAAAATATATATTTATTTATTTATTTTCCTCTGGCTCTAGCTAGAGATGGCTGCTTGACTTCCCTCTCCCGTTTTTTCCCTTCCCCCTGCTTTGCTCTCTATGTTTCTGAAGTGCCTGGTACACATCTCCCGAACGTAAATTAAGATTATGGATCTGGTATCCTGGACGTCCAATCCTATTGAGATTTTTTTCAACAAAATGACAAGGTCCTGGAGAACCTGCCTGTCCAGCTGAGACTCATGCTGTGGGGTACAACAGAGATCCGTGGCGAGTGTGGCAGCTGATGTGCCTCTCAGTCCTGTCTCAGGAGAATGCTGAAGACGTTTACATATTTGGATTTATGATAGAAGGGACTCTGCTTTTTAGCATCGGTGGGGCTCTGTTTTATCGACTGTTGAAGAAGACATCAGCAGCCATTTCGACCATGACAAAGCTTCCGAGTCAGTGTGAAGGTTTGGTTCATGCTGTGAGTACTCAAAATCAGCTGATTTATGAGCTAAACCATAAGGTGGAGGCAATTTATGAGAATGGCAGGCAACCTGCGGCTTCTAGGACTCATCAGCGTGGTGGGTTTGACCTTGAGGGAGACTCATAACATGGATCAGTGGAATGGATTCCCACAATCAGGCCATTTTGGAACCAGAATGTCCAGATGGACTCATGGCTGAAGAAAAAAATCTGTCTGCCTTAAGAAAATCAACAATCAAAGCTTATCTGAATCTGACTCCCCGTTGGCCTCGGAGACAGACCGACTATCTATTTTCTCCTGGGTCATGGGTAACTTGGGATAAAAGCTTCATCTATTGCACCCCATCCCCCCCACCCCTGAGAACTTTCTGTGCAAGCTTATCAGAACTGCCAGCTGAAACAACATCATCAGAACTGTGACCAATCTGAAAAGCACTCATGGACAAATCTCAACACCTCGACTTCAAATGCCTATGTAATCATGTTTTTAAATGTGATTGCTGGTAGAGGTTTTTTTATGTCTCAAATCGTGTCCTGATAGACGAGATGTGAAAGATCTTTTTTTTGTAATACCACTGTCTACCCTCATGATTCTAATAATGCAGCAGCCTCTTCGGGTGGTAAATTATTTTTTGGTAAATGATTACATTAAATGATTAAATTATTACATTTTAATTTATTTGACTTTTTGTCCAGTGTCAATCAGAATGTAGGGAAGGTGCTCGCAGAAGGAATGTGACGTGTGGAGATCCTCAGGGTCTCTGTGATCTGCTGTCCAAGCCACCTGAAGAGGAGCCCTGTGAGAAGTCCTCCAGATGTTATGAGTGGAAGTTTGGAGACTGGTCCAAGGTACAACTATACCATTAAAAAACATTGCAGTTACAGTAAAATAGTTTGACTATTGATGACACAGTTTGATTTTAGCAGAGTTTAACTGTATTTCCAAAAGCTGGGGGGAAAAAAATCACTTTTCTGAGTTTCCATAAGGATATTTTTTAGAGGACATTTGTATTTACATATTTAAAAGAAAAATTAAGGTTAAGGTGTAATTTGAGTATAGTTAATAGCAAAGTGTTTCTTAGTCATAAAAAGACAGAATAAACTCTTGTTTATTACAAGGATTATGATTCAATCACTCAAACTAAAAATTGTGACTGTCACATGAATACCAGTGTATGAATAAATCAGTCAAAACAAGAATGTTTTTAAACTTTTGGAAGTGTACCAGTCACACAGACTGTGCAGAGAAACATAACCTTCAGAACTAATCAGCAATCGAGAGGCCAGCCGAGTCTGGGTGGACGGATCGGACGGCATCTGCAGCCAGTTTCTTAGGATCCGCTGTGGTATGGACCTTTACAAGAGATCCTTCCTGTCTACAGCCATCAGTATCTATAACATCTCTTAATGAAATGAGGATGACGAGTTACTGCAACAAATAATTTCCCTTTGGGATTAATAAAGTATAATTGAATTGAATTGAATTGAATTGAAATGAATTGAATTTGGTTCTGATGGGTAAAACTTCAACTACAAAGCTTCTTTTTTACAACTGATTGACTGTTTATGATAGAATAATCAAATAAATTAACTTGGCATGAAATGGATTTCTGGTAGGAGCTGCAGTGAAACAATTATAGTTTTATAGATTTTTGTCCTTTACAGTAGAAATCTGAAGTTTGTTTAGCTTGAAATACTTAACTGGCAGATAGAGAATTTAATGTTCTTCATTCTAAATAAAAATATGAAAACACCTCGAAGGATCACGTGGTTTTACAGTTAATTAAATACTTTCTACTGAACCTGCATTGTCTACAGCTGCTCAGAATGGACTGTTGTCTGTTTAAGTGCTCAGCCACCTGTGGGAGGGGTCTGCAGTCCCGGGTGGTCCAGTGTATGCATAAAGAGACCGGTCGTCATGGAGACAACTGTCCACTGACTCTGAGACCACCAATATACCGACCCTGTCAGCGACCCTGTTCTGAAACCAGGAACATCAGAACTTCTGCTTACCAGGGTGAGATGTTTGAAACGAATTCAGTTTGGGTTATCACAGATTACACCCAGATTACACAAGCATTATATCAAATTAAACAAGCATTATACTAGATTGCACCCAGAATAAACAAGTGCAATACCAGATTACACCCATATTACACAAACATTGTACTTGATTGCACACGCATTATAACAAAGTACACAAGCAATATGCCAGATTACACCCAGAATACACATCATTATACCAGGTTACACCCAGAATACACAAGCAATATACCAGATTACACCCAGAATACACATCATTATACCAGGTTACACCCAGAATACACAAGTAACATACCAGATTACACCCAGAATACACATCATTATACCAGATTACATCCAGAATACACATCATTATACCAGATTACACAGTATTACACAAGCATTATACCTAAGGTAATGACACAAGGGTGATAACAAATTACACAAGCATTATACCAGATTACACAAACATTATACTAGATTACACCCAGGTTACACTAGCATTTTACAGCATTGAATCCAGATTAATTTAATTACAGTATTTCTATAGTGCCAAGTCATAACAGAAGTTCTTTAAGGACACTGGACAAAAACATTCACATACATTTAAAAAATGTCTATTAGAAAAAATTATCTGTCTAAGGAAGCCAGCAGATTGCATTGAATCCACGTCGTCAGTCTCCCATCCTGAACAAGCACAAAGGCAACAGTGGAAAGGAAAAACTCCCTTTTAACAAGGAGAACCACTAGACTGTTCCTCAGTCTAGTGGTTCTACACTTAATGCTCCTCAACCTCCTTCCTGAGGGGAGTGGGGCAAAAAGTGTGTGTGCTGGGTGAGTGGGGTCCTCCATGATGCAGGTGGCCCTTTTCCTGCATCTGGAGGTGTAGATGTCTGTGATGGTGGGGAGCCTGACTCCAACAGTCTTCTGTGCAGCCTTCACCACTCTCTGCAAAGCTTTTCTTTCTGCAGCTGTGCAGCCTCCATGCCACATGTTGATGCTGGATGCTCTCCACTGCACACCTGTAGAAGGAGGTGAGGACTGAGCTTCCCAGACCAGCTCGTCTCAGCCGTCTGAGGAAGTAGAGTCTTTGATGAGCTTTCGTGACGTGATCAGGCTGGTGGTGTTGTTGCTCCAACTGAGGTTGTCAGTCATGTGTACACCCAAGTACTTGTAGCTGGAGACCACTTCCACTGCATATCCGCTTATGTTCAGGGGGGTGTAGGTGTGTTTGTTCCTTCTGAAGTCCACAATCTCCTTCATCTTCTTCACATTGATGTGAAGGTTATTCTCTTTGCACCAGCTCTCCAGGTGTTCCACCTCCTGCCTGTAGCTGGACTCATCATTGTTTGTGATGCATCCCACCACCGCTGTATCATCTACAAACTTTACAATGTGACAGCCTGGATGGGTAGCTGCACAATCATATGTGAGCAGAATGAACAGTAGGGGGCTCAACACACATCCCTGAGGAGAGCCAGTGCTGAGGATTATGGTGGAGGAGGTGAAGTTGTGGATCCTCACTAACTGTTGTCTGTTTGTTAAGAAGTTTAGTACCCAGTTGCAAATGGAGGGGCTTAGTCCTAGTGTGAATAGTTTGTCCATCAGGGTTTGGGGGATCATGGTGTTGAAGGCAGATGTGAAGTTCACAAAGAGCATACGGACGTAAGAGTCTTTCTGCTCCAGGTGGTTGAGCGCAGTGTGGACCACAAAGGAAATGGCATCTTCTGTTGATCGGTTCTCACGGTATGCATACTGATGAGGGTCCTCGTTGATGTTGATGGTTGTTTTGATGTGAGTCATGACCAGTTTTTCGAAGCATTTAGCGACTATAGCAGCAGAACTAAGGGATAGCTCAGGAAATCCAAGCCAACCCCAACTATAGAATTTATCAAAAAGTAAAGACTTAAACTTAGTCAAAGTAGCAGTGTGTCAGCCTCACGGACAGAAACTGGAAGTTGGTTCCACAAGAGAGGAGTCTGATAACTGACAGCTTTGCCTCCCATTCTACTTTTGAAAACTCTAGGAACCCCAAATAAACATGCAGTTTCAGAATTAAGTGCTCTGTTAGGAAAGTATGGAACAATAAGATATGTAATATAAGATAGACCTACCAGTAGGTTGTTGAGAGCTTTGCATGTTAGAAGTAAGACTTTGAATTCTATTCTGAATTTGACAGGGAGCCAATGGAGAGTGAAAGCTGGAGAGATACAGTATAAACTCTCATTAAAACTCTGGCAGCAGCATTCTGAAGCAATTGAAGGCTTTAAAAAAAATTGGACACTCGGATAATAAGCAGTTGCAATAGTCCAGTTTAGATGTGATAAATACATGGACCAGTTTTTCTGCATCATTTTTGGACAAGGTGTTTCTAATCTTAGAGATATTACGTAGGTGGAGGAAAGTGGTCCTGGTAACTTTTTTTTATGTGGGGGGTTTAAATACATATACTGATCAAAAATAACACCAAGGTTTTTCACATTAAAACTTTAGACCAAATCAATGCCATCCAGAGGAAGTGAAAGGCTGCAGTTTATTCCTAAGATGCTCGCTCAGGTCCAAAAAACTAACTCTGTCGTCTGAGTTGAAAAACAGAAAATTAAAGGTCATCCAGCTTTTCTGTCTTTAAGACATGCTTTAATCTAAGTCACTTATTGGATTCATCTGGTTTCAATGTAAATTTATCCCATACTGTTTAATAACTTTACCAGCATATACTATACTGTAAGGTAAAGAGTATTGGTCCAACCACTGAACCCTGAGGAACTCCATGACTTGTTTGGTGTATGAAGAAGATTCATTATTTACATTTCCAAACTGGAATCTATCAAATAAATACGATTTAAACCATTTTAGAAAAATCCCTTTAATCCCAATATCATATTCTACATATTCTGTAGTAAAATATTGTGATCAACTGTATCAAATGCAGCACTGAAGTCTACCAGGACCAGTGTAGACACAAGTCCATTGTCTGAGGCCATGAGAATATCATTAGTGATTTTCACCAGGGCTGTTTCTGTAATATGATGATGATGATGATGATACTATGATGAGCTCTAAACCCTGACTGAAACTCTTCAGATTGTTTCTGTTCACATGATCACACAACTGACATGCAACTATTTTCTCAAGAATTTTTTTGATGAATGTTAGATTAGATATACAGTAGTTCTATAACCGGACAGAATTCCTGAGTCATAATCAGGCTTCTTAAGTAAAGGTTTCATTACAGCAACCTTATAGCACTGTGGCACATAACCATTCATTAAAGACAAATTAAGCAGATCCAAAATGTGGAGATTAATTAAGTGAAACACCTTTTAAAATAGTTTGGTTGGGATGGGATCTAGCAGACATGTTGATGGTTTTTATGAGGATATTATTTTTGACAATTCAGAGTGCTCAACAGGACAAAAACAGTTCAAACATAAATTCAATTCAATTCAATAATCAGGTTCTAGATTACACAAGCATTATACCAGATTACATAAACATTATATCAGATATATATATATATAACACATGCAGGACTTTGTGTCAGATGTGGTTGTTTTTAAAGTACTTCAGTAGTAGTAGTATGTATTTGATTTTGCACATGTTGCACCCAGATTACACTCAAATTTCCCCTGTAATACAAACAGATTACACTGAGTTTACAGTCAGATTTATACCTGGATTACAGACAGATTTCATTCAGCCATGTGTGAACACACACCAGAGATACTGGGGGTGTATTTCTCCCATCGTGCTTTACTTTGTGTTATTATTGTAATTAAATTATTACTGTACACCATTTATTATATTAATAATATTATCTTCATCCAATAGGAGTCAACAGTAATGAAAGACATGGGGCTGGGGCCACACCCTGATGGAGAACTGTTCTTCTCTGAAGCCCCTCCAGTTGGTTGAAGAACTGAAGACTGTTGCTCATCTACATCATGACAGTAGTAAATTCATAAAGGATTTGAAGTCAAAAGTTTCTTAAATTCTGGTGCTAGAATGACTGGTTCTGAAGGTCCAGTCCTGTTCACTGTATTTGCCTTCTACCATCTCGTTAATAAAGATGAATTGCACTGTTGTCACAGTGAATCATTCTGCTCCATCTCACTCTGCCTCAGTATAACTAAGTACATCTCAGTATATCTCAGTTTAACTAAGTATTTCACAGCTTATCTTAGGGGCCGAGATGGGGTAGAGGTAGGGCAGCCAACCTGGGACTAGAAAGCCCCAGGCTTGGTCCCCAGCCATTCCCACATGTCATGGTGTCTGTGAGCAAAACACCCAATGGAAAGCCCAGCAGCATCTGCACTTCCTCCGTAGGCTGGAGAGATCACATCTCCCACCCCATGTCCTCAGTGCATTCTACAGAGGAACCATCGAGAGCATCATGACCAGCTGCATCTCACCTTGGGAAGGAAGCTGCCTGGCTGCAGACTGGGTGGATTTGAAGAGGGTGGGGAGAACAGCGGAGAAGATCATTAAGACACACCTCCCATTCATCCAAACGCTGTCTGACCAGAGGAAATAAAAAAACTCAGGTCACTAATGAAGTGACCACAAAAGCAAACACAGCCACAGACATACCTCAGTAAAAAAAACTTACCCTATATGCTGTATATATATGAAAAAAACTATATATATATATATATATATATACAGTATATATGTATATGTGTATATTTGTACATGCATGTATAGATTTATATTTGTATATATTTATCATATACCTAGGTTTATATAGGAACATTCGCTAACATTTGCACATTACTTGTAAGAATTGCATATTCTTCTCTAAACACCAAAGTCTATAAAATTAATGTAAATTATGCACTCCTACATTTGCTTTGCAGAAAGTAAACAATTTTGTTCAGTTTTGCATGGAGCACTGTACAATTTTGAATGACAGTTTATAAAGTTGTTATAACTCACTATAACTTAGTATATCAGTATATCTTAGTATAACTATCTCAGTATAACTACGTATATTTCAATATCCATCAGTATAGATCAATAAATATCAGTTTAAATCGGTGTCACATGGATATGGTCGCAGCTGAGGGTGACGTCACTCATAAAACTCGGAATTTAAACGATTACCGGAAATCAGTTCTCATCACAGAAAATGCCAACAATATTGCGGTGATCGATAGTTACTTTATGAATAGTTACTTTATGAAATATCACCTTAAAAAACCTGCACAAAAGAATTAATTGGACTTTTGGAATGTTGATGTTTAGCCTTCTGGTGAACCGAATGTGTTGGGTATCTGAGTCTGAGTGTAGGCTATATTAATGTATTATATTTAAAAGTATGTTAAAATATTTAAACGAAAACGCTGTTACATTTAATAAATAAATGAAAACATCTCCTGAAGTTAAAGGGTTGAATCTGAACTAGTTTGGTGCTTTTATGTTGAAGGTCAAACCGGAAATGCTTGCGATCTATTGATTGTTTGAGTTCGGTTTGATCAGGTGCAGCACAGTGGCCCTGTCATGGACCTGTCTCGGTCCATTGGAGACCGTGGAAGGCCGTCCTCCGCGGCTGTACAGGCCGGTCCAGACTGGTCGGGTTCGGCTCTATAAGGACTGATCACAAACTGCTGGCCGGTCCGGACGGGTCGGGTTGTCTCTGAGGACGGATCACACCCTGCTGGTTCCTGAGAGGCGCTACAGACTCTGGACGGACTGAAGGTAGAAGGATTTGTTTCAGTCTAACCATCTGTTTCTCCTCCAGACGGAGATCCAATCCAGAATAAGATGTGTTCCTTAAAGGTTCTGCATGTTCTAAAATCTGTATATCCAGATGTGTTCTTTAAAGGTTCTGCAGGTTCTGAAATCTGTATATCCAGAATAAGATGTGTTCTTTAAAGGTTCTGCATGTTCTAAAATCTGTATATCCAGATGTGTTCTTTAAAGGTTCTGCAGGTTCTAATGTCTGCATATCCAGAATAAGATCATTTAAAGGTTCTGCCTGTTCTAATGTATATACAGACTAAAATGTGTCCTTTAAAGGTTCTGCATGTTCTGAAATCTGTATATCCAG